GCCGATACTTCGAAACATCCAGCTGATCTCTGGAGGACTCCTTCAAGGAATGAGATCCTTGAATCAGTAAGCTTCTAACAACTAAGGGGCTAGAGGGGGTGAATGACATCCTCTCCTTTGTAACCATCCTTGTGATAATGCTGTCTTTCATGGCAAGATATGCTCAATAACATGATATGATGCAAGCACTGTAGGTGGATGTCAAGTACCAACAGTTTTGGAAGTGATGGATCCACTTAAAACCTGAAAGTCACTGCCTAATTACAAGAGAGAAAAACCAAAGGTGTCAGAACCACCACTTTCCCGTTTGCTCACACACACTAAAAAATCGTAAAAGTGAAAATCAGCTCAAAACATTACATCAAGTATGGGAATTCTGCCTAGGCACTCCATTTAATTTGGTTTTGTTTCCTTCCAGCCTCTGATTGCACCCTCAGGAATACAGTACTGTCTCAACACTTTTCTTTCATTGTTCTATTGTAACTTCCAAACTGTGATTTTTACAAACAACAGCTACAGTATCTCAACAAGTGCTGCCTACAACCCATGTGCTTTCCAGACCTGTCGATCAAGGCTCTCTTTTCAATGTGTGTAACTCTGCAGGCCTTCCCCTACCTATGGGTGCTTATGCAGTGTATTTTTTACTTATTATTTTTACGTATAGTAATTCATTAAATAACAATACCTCAAGACACTCAACATTTTTGTATACTAGTACTACAAGTGTCCTTCAGTACGTAATGACACTGATGTCACTTAATCTATTTTGGATTCTATGGTTAAACTAAAAAGAAGGATAATTCTGGAAAAACTATTTCTTTTGTTTACATTATTTAATTGTTTTTCTGTGGTCTAACAAAAAGGTTCATATATCAATAACAAATCTGACTACAGCAAAACATTAATATCATTTACAAATTTAGACTGTTGGAGGCATTTCATAGTGGTTTTTCACTTGTTTCATCTGTTGTCCTAAACAGTTACTTTGATCAAAGTTCAAATATCTCATGTTTCGCCCCAAACAATAAGAACTATTTCCTCTTCTTTTGCTGTATAATTAATTACTTAAAGTGTTATTTTACTCACAGCTTAACAGAAATCAGTAGTGACTGCTGTCATTGGAGCAGAATGTCCAATCCTCATCCTGGAAGGCCAGTGTGTGGGTTTTCATTCCTATTCAGCTCTTAACTAAAAGAAACAGCTGGTTTCTGGCTTAACTGGGACACTACTGTATATCAGCTACCCCCAGCGCTACAGATACTGCTGCTTTAAAACCAAGCTTGAAACCCTCCAGAATCAGGATTGGACATCCCTGTCTTAGGACATATCATTGTGGTTGTGACTC